GGAAAATTGAATATCAAATAGATTTTAAAAATCTACATTAAAAAGTGAACTTGGATATGGAGTTTGGGTATGTTCCCTAAAATTCAGGTAGGAAAATATCTAATGACTAGGATGAGAAGGCAGGTTTGAATTTAAAATACAGATTGAACACTTGTGATTCAAAAATCTGGAATCTAAAATGCTCCAAAATCCAAAACATTTGGAGAACTAATGTGATGCTCAAATAGTTTCAGATTTGGGATCATTTCAGATTTTCGGATTAGGGATGATCAGCTGGTGAAGTCTCTGCAAACTTTCTAAATCTGAAAAGGCTCTGAAGCAACTGTGGTCCCCAGCATCTTGGATAAGGGATTCTCGGCCACACCAAGGGCAACAGGACCTGCTGGGACCATTCTGCCACCAATGATACTCTCATTTCAAGGATTTTCCTTCAGGGAAGCTGGAGAAGACAGTTGTCAAAGCCTGACTTGTCACCTGACCCCCTGCACCTGCCCTCTGTGGTCTGCCTCTCCAGGTGCCAGCATGGACTCTAGCGGAGCCTGCTTGTGTCGGGAGCGCCCCTGCGTCATGTTCTCAGTTCCCCAGTCTGGGTGCCTGAGCGTTTGGTGAAATGAAAGATGAATTATGCTATTTCGGGGGGGCGGAGGAAGTGACTTCAGAGCAGGAAGAGGCCTTCCGGATGGGGGCAGAGTCCCCTCCTTGTGGAGATGGTGGGAGTTGGGTCTGCAGCCCTTCACCTGGGGTTGCCAAGCCAGAGCCATGGCCGAGTTCAGGAGGGAGCTCCTCACCTCCTGGGAGCCTTTCCTGGCTGAGGCTCCGCACCTAGAAGTACTGATCACCCAGCACCCAGGAGTACCGCTCACCTGGCACCTGAAGACATGGACAGTGCCAATGTGCCTGTGGGGAGGAGCGTCATCGTGGCATCCTGCCAGAGCTGGACGCTGATGCCCAGTGGTCCTGCTCCCCAGGGAGGTGGCTGAGGTGTGCTGAAGGCCTTGGGGCTGCTGCCATGGCAGGGAATGTCATTGTCCCCAGGGACAGACTCCATTCCCCTCCTTTTGCTTTGGAGGCCACCTAGTCAGTGAGGTCAGCCTGAGCAAGCAAGATGGCTAAGCTGGGTGGAGGGTGGACCTAGCAGGGGGCCCCACATGTCCTGATGTTTGGGGAGCAGCTGGGAGGGTGGGGCCAGCTGGGGCTGCACAGGGAGGCTGAGCCCTGGGGTGAGGAGGTGCGGGCTGGGCTCAGGACAGGGCTGTGGTGGGACCCTCTGGATGTGCAGTGTCTGAGAGGGCCCAGAGGCTGGCAGCCGGCAGGAGGAAGCTTGCAGAAACCCAGCCGAGGAGCACAGGCTGTTCTGAGAATGTGAGGCCACAGTGGAGGTTTGCAGAGGTCTGGAGGCCGGATGTTGAGGGCTGAGCAGGGAAGGGGACGGATTCTGCATGGAGACCTGGCTGACCCGCTGCTGGGTCCTCCGCAGGTTCTGAGTGCGTTTCCTCGGTTGCCTGCCTGTGAAGGAAAGCCCATGTTACAGAGGACACGGAGGCTCAGGCAGTCCAGTGGGTCTCCAGAGCTGTCCATCTCCTCAGGGCAGGGCAGGCGGGCAGGGGCGGGACTGGGCGGGATGACTCCTGAGCCTCCCCTCGGGATTGCTTATGCAGAGCAAGTCAGGGATGAGGTACCTGCTGGCTTCGTCCTCCAGGCCGTCCTCACCCAGCCCTGCGGCCTACCCCCCTCAGCCCTCTCCAGTCTACGGCCCCTCTCTGACCGCCCCTTTGGCCAGGCTTCTCCCCACTCCTGCATGTCCACTCTCCTTTGGTCCAGAGGCCTCTGGTCTCTGCTTTGGGACTTTGTGCTTGTGGATGGGGGGACAGACACCCATGTTCCCTGGGCACAGCCTGGTGGCTTGTAGACAGTAGGCGTCCCCAAAGGAGTGAAGATGTGTGCAGAGCTGGCATGGGCATCTGGGTGGCTGGTGTGTCTACCTTGACCAGAGGTTGTGGCGGCCAGTCAGGACTGAGATGAGGTCTCTGCAAACACTGGAGTGTGGTGCTGCTGACCAGGAGGGTCCCTCTGCGCTGAAGCTCAGGTGCAAGGTCATGCTGCCTGGCTGATTTGGAGCCATGGCCTACGCAGCTGGGGAAGACACCGCGTGTGTCCATGCACAGGCCAGCGCATAGAGGAGGGCACTTGGTAGCAAGATCACGTTAGTCTGCACGGTCTGCAGCAGGCAGGTGCCGCACGCTGACGGCTTGACAACAGAGGTGTGCTGCTCAGTTCTGCAGCCAGAGTCCAAGCCGGGGTCGCGGCAGGGTTGGTTCCCTGAGGCTGTGAGGGAGAACCTGTCCCCACCTCTCTCCAGCTTCTGATGGTTTCCCGATAGACCGGGTGTCTCTTGGCTTGGAAATCTCTGCTTTTGTCTTCTTGTGGCATCCATCGTGTGTGTCCCCACATTCCCCGTGTTGTGTTAGACCACCTTATGCCAGTATGACCTCCTAGTGTCATATCGAGGTCAGGGAGTCCAAGACTTCAACCCGAGCTTGGAGGGTGATGGTGGCATGGCAGGATGTCATGCTGCCCGTGGGTTGGAGTGATCAGCATTGGTCTGAATGGCTGCAGCACTTGGAGGGCCTGGCACGGTTGCCCAGCTCTTAGGGCATTTCTGGAGCACCGAGGACAGGCCATCCTGAGGCCTTGGAAGCTCAGCCCTGGCCACCAGGATCCCTGGCTTTGCTCAGTTTCTCAACTTCCAGGAAGTGTGCTGTGGGAAGGCTGTAGGCAGAGTGTCCCCTGGGGGACCCAGCAGCCCCAGACGAGTTCTAAGGTTTTACCTTGAAATCGCTTAAGTAGCTTCAAGCACAGACATCTTCCTGTGATCAGAGGACTTTGGAAATCCATGTGGGATGCACGGTTTGATAGATCCGACCTGCTAGATGGCCCCAGGCAGGCTCACCATGGCTGTGCCCACACTCAGGTGCCCAGTTAGAACTCAGAGTTGTGGGGAAGGTGTGTAAACTCTTGCACTGACCCCGTTCGCCTCCCCTGACCCCGGCCAGTGTGGCTAACTAGGTCTCCAGAGTCTTGGTGTGAAGGAGGAGGTTTTCCCAAGGAGACAGAGACAGATTGGCTTTTCAAATGTCATTTTTCTTGAAAGGTTGAATTTGGCCCGTCTCACCAGGAAGTAGCAGGTGCCCAGCCTCTCTTGTTTAGCAAATTAAAAATGGGGAGATCATTTTTGCCTTCTTGGCCTCTGCTGGAAGTCTGGAAACCAGGGTCACTGTGTTGGGTTTGTCTTTTATGAGAGGACATGGTGACCTTGGAGGAGATGGTGAGTGACACTGCCTTGCCAGGGCTGCTCCCCGTGGTCTGGGCACTTGAGAGGGCTTTGTCACTCCCTGCCCATCAGGTTTCCTTGTCCACCCAGGTAGAGCAAGGTGAAGAGGGGGGGATGAGAAAGGCCAGGCCACTCAGCTGGTGGGGGGCAGCCCCAGGGTGCGGACAGAGTGTTGGAGTGTGTGGGCTTGACTTCAGACGGCCGTCACACCTAGGGGGTGTCTGGTGTGTCCGATGGGACACAGCCCTACTGTGGAAGGGTGTTGTCCTCCTCTTAACCCGTGAAGAACCCAGGTGTTCTTGCATCTGGGGCGGGTCGGTGGAGGACTTGTCTGGGTGCAGTGTCTTTCCTAGCTGTCCCTGCTGCGGCCCTCACCTAGTGGGCGTCTGCCTGGCCCTCTTCTTGAACCCCACTTCTCTCTGCAGCAGCGTGAGCCTTGGCTGCAGTGCTGGAGGTTTTTCTTGTGTTTCACTCTGAGCAAACTCAGCAAAGCAAGCAGGGTTCCCTGGAGGGCTGGACAGGTGTGGGGAGAGTGACCTCGTGTGTGGGCAGGTGCAGGGACCTGGCAAGTCTGGGTAAGAAGGTCAGTGAGCCCCGGCCTCAGGTGGCAGCCTCCCTCTGGAGGGCCCTGGACACTTGTGGGGGTTGGGGCAGGAACTCTGTGTTCCACCTGGGATTCTAGGTGGAAGGTCCCTGGTGAAGGGAGGCACAGGCCTGCACACAGTCTCTGGGCCAGTGGGGAGGCCTGGCAGTGTCGCCTGGAGAGTTGGGTTGTCTGGCTCCCGTGGCGTTCTTAAGGTGTCTTCCTAGAGGAGTTGACAGTGAGAGGCAGGACGGAGGTGCCGCTTTCTCAGACAGGAATGGAGGGTCCCCGTGAGGGCGACTCAGTGGACTCAGCCCGGAATCTCGAAAGCCATTTGTCTTTGGTGTGGCCTGCTTCCTTCTGTGGAGGCCTGTGGTCCAGGCCGCCTGGGGGTGCAGGGCAGCCCTGGCAACCTGCTTCCTCCCGTCCCCCATGCCCCGACAGGGTCCCTGGTGGTCTCGCTAACCCAGCGTGGTCTCTAACGCCTCTTGTCAGCCCGCTGCACCACTGTCCCAGCCGCACGGAGGCCCCATCGGTAGTTCTGTCTAACCCGTGTGTGCTAGTCCAGCGTCCTTCCCTCGATGTGACTCTGACCGCGGAGACCCCACTCATGATGTTCTGTGTTTCCTCTCAAAAACTGGGTTTCCCTTGAGGAGAATGCAAGTTCTCAGCCCTGAACTTAGCGGTACTTTGTGGACGAGGCAGCTGTCAAGCATGAAAAATTTGTCTGTCTTGTGAACCCAACAAGAGAATGACAATTTTGGTGTTCTCTGTTTCCCAGTGAGAGAGAATTTCTGAATTTACATATAAAGACTACAAAAAAATCCCACACTTCTCAGCCAGCGTGCCTGGCCTGGCACAGTGCCTTCAAACAGTGCTTGGGTTCTTAAAGACACATTTTAAAATCTGAGTTCGGTTCTAAAATTCAGTGGTTGTGGGAGACCTCCGAAATCCAGTCCTAGATACTCAGAGCTAGTTGCCCCCAGGCCGCTGCCGAGGGTGTATTTTTCCACAAGCGAAGCCCACGTCTGTCTGCCCTCCTCCCGCCCTGTTTTCCTCTATAACGTGGTGTTCTGTGTGTGGCAGGTGGCAGGTTCAAGAAAGAGATTGTCGTTGATGGACAAAGCTATCTGCTGCTGATTAGAGATGAAGGGGGCCCCCCAGAGGCGCAGGTGAGTACTGCACGCGCTCTGAAACCAGTTCTGCCTTCTGCCTTCTATGGTTCTGATTCGACAGGCTGTTCTAGAAATGGGTCATGCCGTTCCAAAAGAGAGACATCGAAACCCACAAAAGTCAGTCTGTGGGGCCATTTTTTTCACATTCTGTATTTTTAGGAAGGAAGGAAAAGCAAAATCTGCACTGATTTGTCAGTTCTGTTGAAATAGCAGCCGGAAGTTCCTGTGGTTTATTTATTTCTTTTTTCCTGTTAACTGGTTTGATCTCCAGGCACTGAGGTCGTGTAGGAAGTCATTTGGGTAGACTTGGAGCCAGTCTTCTTTCTGCTGCTGGTAAACCTCGGGAGTTGGTGTCTCCAGCTCTTGGCCCACACAAGTCTCCCCTAAAAACTGGTCTGCAGCATATTGTGTTTTTTTTTTTTTTTAATTCCTTAGAAAGATGGGAATCCTGGGAGCAAAGTGGCAAGAGCATGGAGATCTTCTTTCTTGGGTTTCCTTGTCCACGTGTTGTTCTGCCCACCTCGTAATTTTGCCAGTAAATGCTGGAAAGGAGGCAAGAGCTAGTAACAGCCAGTGACCACGGATGCCCCCTTTGGACATCTTGAACTTACCTCCTTGAGAAGCTGAACATAGAGTTATAAGGATGGTTAAAGTGAGAGATGTTGGACATGGGGGTTGTTGAAGGTCTAGGACCTCACGCAGGGAACACTGTGAGGATGCTGAGGAAATGTCACGGTTACCCTGTCCCATCAGCCCTGGACACCAGTGATTGTGGGGTGCATCCACGTTGAAAGAGAGTGCTGCCAATTAAACTACGAAACTGCAATAATAAGGCACAATCTGACCACAGAGGTTAAAAATGAAAAGTTTGCCACCTTAGCATGAGTGAGTGCTCCGTGACAGTAAGGGAACATCTTGAACACGTGTTGAAGGTGCAGGAGGCTGGTCGCAGCCAGGTTGAGTGTCTGTTTAGGGATCATCAGCGGCTGGCCCGTGTGGCTGCGGCCAGAGCCATCCTGAAGGTTTGGGAGGTCAGCTTCGCAGGCAGGACCGGACTTTGTCCTTGATGCAGGCTGCCTCCAGCAGCTGGTATGTGGGAGAAAATGGCAGGTGGAGTGTGGAAGTCTCCTGGGTTCATGTCCTGCTTTTCCCAGAACGTGAATGTTCTTAGAGAACCAACCTTAGCAGTGTGTGAAACCCTGAAGAAAGTACAGGAATGCTGCAGAAGCGCTGGCTTAGTGGCCTCAGGGTGTGCCGAGCTCTCCAGAGAAGTCAGCAGAGCCAGACTCGGAAGCTCCCCGGCTGCACCAAGTGCCCCAGTTCAGGCCACACTGGGAGGGTGCACTAGCCAGGTCCCGGGGTGGAGTGAGCCACAGCACCCATTACTAGGGATGCCTTTTCCCTAAGAAGCTCCTGAGGGGCTGGGGGTGTAGCTCAGGGTGGAGTGTGTGCTTGGCACTCCCAAAGTCCTGGGTTCAATCCCCACACCAAAGTCCAAAATAAAAATAAAAGCCTTTTTTCCCTGTGCTTTTATTCTGAAGCCCACGCCTATTGCTTTCATATCCCCCGACCCCTTGCAAGCCCGAGAAATCCCAGCATTTTGTCTCAAGTGGAATTTTTCCCGAGAGGTCTTTGCTCTAACCTCCTTGGAAAACGCATCTTCTATGTAGTTTAGAATGCCTAGAATATGCAGCGCCATTTGTTGTAACAGTAGTCTCCTTCTTAGTCACCGCAGTCAGATGAGGAATTGCTTTAAGGGAAGCAGTGGAGACGATGGCACAAGCCGTTGCCTTCTCTATTTCCTCTTGTGCCTCTGCAGGCTCACTGTCACCTTGTCACCTGGGGTGCCTGCGCTCCTCACGGTGGTATCCTGGAATCACTGAGGCCAGCTGGGGGCGCAGCACTCTTGAGATCTCGCCCCAAGGCTGGGGGCCAGGATGTGGGGTTGAGGCTTCCTGCAGCCCCACCAAGCTGGAGTAGGGCTAGGACCCCCGTAGGTCTCCTTGGCCTCCGACTGGGAAAGGGTTAAAGTTTCCCTGAGAACAAGACGCTTTCTCCAGGAATAAGTAAAGATCTCCTTTAGGGGAGTATCAAGATAGGACCGGATTCCGGATTTCTTCGTTGTTCTGGGTCACTTCCTGTTGTCTGTCTGACAATAATGGCCTCTTGAAGGAAGTTGTAGGGCTTCCTGTGGCTTCTGTAATCGTATGTAGTGCAGAAACTCGCCCAGTAAACGGGTACCTTTTTCTTTTAAAGTGGCAATTTCTAATGGGGAAGCTGTTGGAGTGGATGGGTATTTGCCGAGTACCGGGGCAGCCAGAGTGATCCCCCTGGAGAGCAGGGACCTTGTGATTCAGCGGGTCTCAGCCTCCCGTTCAGGGCAGCGAGCCCTCCTCCGGTGCTGGTGCCCAGGGGAGACCGCCACTCCAGGTGAGAGAAGGGGAATCCGCCCTTCCTCCCAGGCCTGCCCACACGCTCTGCTCCACGTTCCTATTTGATTTTGTATGTTTCGTTAGATCCTTGGGTTTCTAAAAGTTTTATCATGTGAACATTTCACATGTAACTGAGGAGTTTTCCAGTTTAAGTGGAGTCGGAGTTTAACCTACAGAAAATTTGCCCACCTGTGTTAGAAGCCACGGAACCTTCCTGAGGGACTGTTGTTTCTTTCAGGGAGGACGAACAGGATGTTGGAGGTTTGTTTCATTTTCCCTCGGAAAGAGGAGGGACTTTGGTGCCAGACAGGTGGGATCTGGAAGCCGCTGTGCCATTAGTGGTGCGAGGGGGTAGCTGTGGGGCACCCCCAGGCACACAGCCTCCCGAGGGGGTTGGTACCAATAGAAGGTGGTGGGGGGCTGGCAGTGTGTTGTCTCCCAGAAAGAGCACGTGTGTCGGGCCAGCTGAATGCAGGAAAAACGAGGATAAAAGGGCAGCGGTGAGTCCCTCCCCTGGCGTTTGCTAGCCGAGGGCTTCTCACAGATGTGTAATGATTAACTTACAGGGTGCTGGCCGAGTTGGTAGCAGCAGACCTTCACCACATGAAGGCCCTTCCTGATAGATGGGTGGCTGGTGGTGGGCAGTGGGGCGCTGGGGGATTCCTGGGCATGCTGTGGGCTGGAAGAGGCGCTCCCTCTCAGTGTGGCAGCCTATCCAGGTGCCCTGGAGGGACTGAAGAGGAGAGTCAGTGTAGGACACAGCCCGGGGCCACCCTCGGTGCCCATCTCCAGGCCCAGGAAGCCAGGCAGGTGGTCTAGTCATCTAAGTGCAGGGCTGCACTTGCTGGGCCGGGCAGAGGGTGGGCATCCAGGCCTCGGAATCCACGGGGCAGTGGTGCAGTTGTGTCCCACGTGGGGCCTGGTGGGAAGAGGACCAGGGTCCCACTCCTGGGGAAGCAGGGAGGCTCTGCTCTTAGGAGGACGAAGAGGTGCCTAATGATGAAGTCACCACAGGCATCCGGGCGTCCTGCGGTTCCTGGCCTGCCTCTGGGCTCTGGACGGCCCAGCGCCGCGCGCCCTCTCCCCCCACGAGCCCCCCAGCTCCTGCTCTCACCCGCTCTCTCCGCAGTTCGCTATGTGGGTGGACGCTGTCATATTTGTCTTCAGCCTGGAGGACGAGATCAGTTTCCAGACCGTGTACCACTACTACAGCCGGATGGCCAACTACCGCAACACCAGCGAGGTGCCGCTCGTGCTGGTGGGGACCCAGGGTGAGTGCCCCGCACGGCTAGCCGAGGTTCCCTAGCTTACACCTGCCACGTGGTGTGCAGGACTCTGAAAGTGGGCCGAGGCGGAAAGGGCGCTGGGGCTGAGTGCACGCAGGTCCCCTGATGTGCACCTGTCACTCCTGATGTGATTCTGTGGAGACGCTCGTCAGCAGGCTCCAAGTGACACACGCAGCACAGATGAACAACACACAGACAACACACATCCCAGATGTACACACGGCACATATACACGTACAACACAGATACACAGCATACCCACAGTATAGATACACACGCAACACGCCTATGCACACACACGACATACAGTGTACACAGACTACATAGATATAGACACAGCGTGCAACACAGATATACCCAAAATGCACAGTACAGCCACACAGTCGACACACAACCTAGGTACATAAACAGCACATACAACACAGGTGGGGACCCAGGGCGTGTGCCCCGCATGGGCCTACAACACAGACACAAAGCATACGACGTTCACACAGCACAGATATACGTACAACACACGCTAGACATAGCAGATATACCTGTAACCCAGAGAAGCACACATCACATGCAGAGAACTGACATACTACTCAGAACATGGATCTATACTACACACAACATAGATTGGCAACACACTCATCACGTACACACATCCGGAGTGCTTTAGAAAACATCCATTTTATCTTGCCTTCTATATTATATTTTAATTCTTTGTTGTATAAATTAATTTCTAAGCAGACCCTACCTTATAAAAACAAGGCTGTTTTGGCTCTCAGCGCACCTATAAAGTGATACTTGACTTCTGATACCTGGCTATCAGTGTCCCATGGTCTGCGTCTTGTTTTTGACACCTTGTGGTCCTGCAGGGTGGGGCCACTGGGGGCCTGCTGCTTATTTCCTTAGTCTCTTGGAGAAGGGACCGTTGCGTGGACTCACACACGGCGCCCTTGCTCCTGATCACAGATGCTGTGCTGCTCTGGGGCCCGAGTGAGGCGGCCCGTGGCTTCTTTTTACCCATCAGATGAAGCTCACTCTAAACGGCTTTGTCAGACACACAGGGGATTTTAAAAGTGCTCACATCAAGCGACTCGAATCCCCTTCCTTTGTGGTGTGTGGCCTGCTGTTGGCACTGCCTTTGGAACCAGCGGGTACATGTGCCTTCACGCACCCATGTCAGGCTCCAGTTGGGCAGCACCAGTGTGACCGTTCAGGAACGTGCTGTGTGCTTCCCTGGGTGAGGTGTGAGAGCGAGCTCAGCAGTGCCCCGACCCACGTCTTCTCGCCAGGTCACGGTGAAGGGCATGTGAGTAGCTGGAGTGGCGTGCCCTAATCCCAGGGCACTTCTCAGTGTGCTGGTGAGAAAGGTTAGAGTTGGCACTTGTAATGGCCAGAGGGCTCATTAGTGAAACCTTCAGAGCAAGAGGCCGTTTGGGCCTAAAACCAGATGGAAGAGCTTCTTCATGCCTGCAGCACCCTCTAGTGGTCCCTGGGAGACAAGGACATGCCTGGAAGAAGCCCTGGGTTCTGTTTTTATTGGTGCGTGTTGATGACGACATAGTGGGCGTCGCTGTGGCATATCTGTACACGCATCTAGCGTAGTTGGGTCACACTTACTGCCTAGCACCTTCCCTGTCCCCAGGCCCCCTCCCACTTGGCCCCTTCCTGTGTCCCAGTGGTCTCCCTCTGCTGTCTCGGCCTCTCCCCCTGTGCCTTCCACAGCTCTGGGTTCTTAGCAGTGCCCATCACTCTCTGGGTTCCAAATCCACGATTCAACCAACTGTGGATCGAAATTATTTTTTTGAAATTTCATCTGTCCTGGACACATACAGACTTACCTTGCCACTGTGCCCTAAACACCTCAGTGTAGCAGCTGTTTCTGTGGCACTCACCCTGCTTTGGGCACCGTGAGTTCTCCAGAGACAACCAGAGGCACGCAGGAGGATGCCTGGGCTCTGCACAGGTGCTGCGCTGTGTCAGTGAAGGCCCAGGGCACCGGTGAGTGTTGGTGTCCTGGGAGGTCCTGGAACCTACCCCCGTGGCCGCCGAGGGATGACAGCATGCAGTGCTGGCATATCCGAGGTGCCTGACCTGTGTGAAGTGGTGCTCATCTCAAGGAGGCTCTGCTTAAAGCTACCTTGAAGGGGAGGAGATGAGCTGCTCCCGAGGCTCGCCACGGTGTGTCTGAGCAGTCAACTGGAGGCCACTCAGTTTGGGGAGGCTTGTGTTTAGGACTCAGCTGCCTCCTGGCTGCAGGCTTGAGGCACTTAGGTTCCCAGGCCGGGCTGGAAGGCTCGGAGTCGGTGCGTGTGTCCTTTGCACACAAACCAGTGTTTCTGCTGGTGGAGTGAAATAGAGTGAAGTGAGACGCAGGTTTTGGGGACACACACCCTTCGACATGATCTGCCGTGACCCGGTGGCCTGAAACACAGCTTGTCGGGGCTCTGGCAGGGTGGACAGGAATTCATGGAGGGCACTCGGTGTGCCAGTGGACACATGATGAGTGTCTGATAGTGGCTGCTGCTGTTCCTTGTATTTCAACGTACGGCGGCTTAGTGAGGCCCTGTTTGGGCTGGCAGAAGCTCATCCCTCTCTGCCACTGTGCCTGGGGATAAGTCTGTTCCTTTGAGCTGCCTTCCCTAGCTGAGAAGGGATCATCTGTGCCTCCCCCAGGTCATCTGGGTCCGTGGAGGTGGCTGAGGACAGCCACCAGAGACTGAAGCAGCTCTCACGGAGCAGAAGTCCTGGGCTTGAAGCCACAGGTGGGCACCGAGCGAGGAGCCTTGTCCAGGGTGGCCCTCTGGAGGGGAGCTTGGGCACTCAAGAGGCTCCTGTCTCACTTTAGCTCTGTTCTCCTTAGCCCAGCCACACCCCAGATGTACAGAAAAGTTAGGGCTGTGGCTCACCTGAGGCCCTCTGCTTCTTCACCCACCTCACCAATGGCCAGCACCTGGGGCCTGGGTGAAGAAGGCTGGGGCGAGCGTGGGCTCCCGAGGCTGCTGTGCACCCCAGTCTCTGAAGCCTGTGCATTCGCAGTGCTGTGCAAGAGACCAAACAGGAAAGGTGGTGCGCGAGGGCCTGAAGCTTCCGCCCTGCAGGTTGGGGTAAGTGGCTTCAGAGGTGGGGATTTGGGGCGGGGAAGGAACCCAGGAAGAACTCTGCTCATTGGCCCAGGCTGCAAGGTCTGGGAGGTCCAGGGGGACGGGCACTGGGCATGGGAGGTGAGGAACTGTGTGTGCACAGGGCCGTGGCTGAGCCAGGGCTGCCTGGTGCTTGCTAAGCAGAACGTGTTTTAAAGACTTGCTGATTAGATAGACAGGAGGAGGAAGCCAGGTCTGCGCAAAGCTGCAGGGTTAAAGTGGAATGAGAAACGAGCCTAGGATGAGACCGAGCCATGCAGTGTGGTCGAGAGGTCCCAGGTGGGCTTGGTGCACCTGTACGGGCAGGTGACAGGGAGGTGGAGCCGGTCCTTCACCCAGGACTAGGGGATGTGGAATGCTGGGTCCCAGCATGGGATCCTGGATGGGTGCTCTGGGACCTCACCTCAAGTTGCAGTTTCTAACCTTCCCCCCATTTTCCTTACACGTGGTGCAATGCAAGTCAGATTTTCTAATCTACAAGACAAGAAGATAGGCGGAGGTGTCCTGTTACTCCACGCCCAACACCTGGGGAATGTCATGGAGCGGCTCTGTTGAGCCGCGTCCTGACTCATGCTCTGGTGTTTACCTACCAGTCTCAGGTCAAACTTATTCCACAGGACTAAAGAGTAAAATAGGGACAGAGGAGAGAGAGGGGGGGGAAATGGATGACCTGCTTCCTCTCCATGTCTTGTTCTTACACTTCACATGCACTTTCCACACCAAGCAGACAGGGCTCCAGCTTTTGTAGGGCTTGTGTGTGGTTGCTCTGCTGGTTGACAACCCCCTGGTGGCTTCGCTTAGAGAGTGCTCAGTTGCTTTCCTTAGCATAAGAGCACGCAACCCCCTGAAAAAGTGCGGGTTACCTAACCGGCTCTGACACAGAGCAGTCACCTCCTACGCGCACTCAGTGGCCCCGAGTATGCGGACCCTGCTGGGTGCCAGGCTTGATGGCAGGGCTGAAGAAAGCAGGTGTTTCTTAGCGGTGGGGGGGGGGGGCAGGAGACGACAGCTCTGTTTGCTGCTCAGCCCCCACCCCACATCCCGCAGGAGCTGATGCCACAGGTACCCTCCAACTCTCTGTGACCCTGAGTGGCTCACACCACCTTACATTGCTCTCCACTTCCGAGCCTGAGAGCCAGACCTCAAGGCAGCCCGCAGGCCCTGCTGCCCCCCCCTCCGCCCCCACCCCGCACCTTCCTGGGCGTGTGGGTGCTCTCCCTCCACGGGTGTCGGGCCACCCGCCTCCGCCAGGTGTGCCTTCCTAGTGGCTTCATTAGAATCACAGGGTCGGGCTGGGCTGTGGCTCGGTGGCAGAGCACTTGCCTAGCTTGTGTGAGGCATGGGTTCGATTTTCAGCACCACAGGTAAATAAAACAAAGGTTCCTCAACAACTAAAAAGAATTAAACCAACCAACCAACCCCAGGGGCTCCTGAACTGCCTCAGGTGGCCCCCACGGCGGCCGTTACACCCCTAGTCGTCCCTGCTTCTGGCCGTCTAGAATGTCGCTGCGGGAACACACAGAGTCTCCATGGTAGAGCAGGTCCAGGCACCTAGCAGGGGCCAGTAAACACTGACCCAGTGGGAGAGTGGTCAAAGGGCCACCCCCGGAGCGGGAGCATTGTTCGTGGACGCTGTCACATGGAAGGTGGCGTGGCCTCTGGGTTCTCGGTGTGTTCCTCTGAAGCTGTTCGTCCCTCTTGCGCCTACCTCCTGCCCTTCTGGACCGCGGTTCTGTTCCCGCGTAGCAGCTCTCCTGTAGCACGAGCTCCTAGCCAGGGCGACGGGCGCGCTGGGGTTCGAGCTGATATTTTGGGGTAAACTGTCTTCAAGACGCAGGTTCTTGGTCAGTGTGCTTTGAGCCATGCCGGCACCTGAAGTCACAGACCCGCCAGCCGTCCGTGTACATTGTCACTGTGCTGTCACTCTCTGGTCTTCTGTTCCAGATGCCATAAGTTCCACGAACCCGCGGGTCATCGATGACGCCAGAGCGCGGAAGCTCTCCAACGACCTCAAGAGGTGCACATACTACGAGACGTGTGCCACCTACGGGCTCAACGTGGAGCGGGTCTTTCAGGACGGTAAGTGCCACCGAGACTCTGGTAGCTCTGCGACCCAGGTGCCACTCCAGAACAGGCTCTGCCCATGAGTGGTGACAGGCCCAGCAAGGGGACAGAGGTGACTCCCCTTCTGTTTCGCTGTCAGTGGTGTGCTCAGGAGCGAGAGGAAGTCGCCTGCCTGAAGACGGCCCTGGGGTGGGTTCTGTGTCGCGTTCTCACCCTCCTGGGTGGGCGAACCTCTGCTGGCTGGTAGCAGTTCTCGGGCTCCGTCAGCCTGCGATGGGCCAATTTCCCATGTGAGCGCTCATTGTGCCTCCAGGCCTGTCTTTAGGGAAGGGCTTTAATTGGGCTTTCAGAAACCTAAGCTGAGAGAAGAGTCAGGTTTGGGCCACTCAGGGCCTGCCCGAGGTCCAGCACTTAGACCCGTGGACGCCATTGCATTTGATTTTCAATCTCCCACTTGCAGGGGCAGCCACAAGTCAGATGGGAGTATCCCGGAGGAGCTTTTGGGTTCTCCCAGGGGTCACACTCATGTCCACAAGGGGGTGCCAGGTGTCAGTTATGAGCTGGAGTATGACATGGGGTGGTCTCCGGCTCTGGGGTCAGAAGGTCTGGGGAAGGTTCTCATGGAGTTACAGTCTTGAGGAGGGTGCCCTGGGCCGGGGTTCCATTTCTGATGATGTCTTGGGAATTCAGTCCCGGGCCCCCCCCCCCCACTCCTGGTTTAAACCAGGAGAAACATGTCTGTACCTCCTGTTCTGGTGTGATGGGATTGTCGCAGAGTGGGCCAGCCAGGCCTGGACCCTTGAGGGCCTCCTGGGCTGTGCGGAGGTCATCGAGGCCTCTTGACCCCGTCAGCTCTGTCACAGTGTCTGCACTGGCCCTCCGGCCCCAGAGTGGGCTGCGGGCCCCGCTCGGCTCTCCAGCTCCGTTGCGGGTGAGCCCGAAGGAGTGCCACACTCCCCTGCTGTAGCAAGGCAGGGTCTCAGGTTCGCGTTCCCTCGCACTCATTGCAGCCAGGCTCCTCTCCAACTCTGCCTCTCACCTCCTTTTTAGCACATTGGTCCCGTTGCACCCTTCCTGGCTCACGGTTCCTCATCACCTCTCCCAGTGCCCATTCTGAAGAAGCTGGACTCCCCTGAGAAGGAGCTCAGAGCCCCTGGGGTCCCCCTGTCCTCCCCTGCCCACTCTGCAGCCGGCCCTGCCAGGAATGTGTCCTGTGGGCAGCAGCCTTTGTGTGAAGCCCTCACAGCCCCAAGTCACTTGGTGTTTGCGGCTCCACGAACCTTAGAGGCCTGGGAAGAACCACCGAGGGAGTGCTGGGCTCCCGAGAGGTGTCTCCGACAGGGTTTGGTTACTGTCTGAGCTCATGTGGCGGGTGGAGAGGAAGAGCCCAGAGCTGCGCCTGGCTGGCCACTCTGCGTGGGCTTTCTTGACGCGCGGCCACGCCCGTCTGGGGCTCAGCAGGCTTGGCGGGCTCGGCCCTCTCGGCCTAAGACAGAGCGCCAAGTGGTGCAGCAGACCTTCTGCAGGTCTGGTCCCTGGCGCAGGTGATCAGAGATGACTTGTGGGTCAGTTTATTCTCTTCTACGATTACTTCTTACATTTATGGTGGTTATCAATGTGAATTTTCCTTTATTTCCTGAAGTATCGTAAAGTTAATGCCAGGGAATAGTGAGATTACAGGGCTTCCCCGCTAAACACCGTGTCTTGGTCCATTCTGGCTGCTGTAGCAGGTGACCATGGACTGAGGTCTGAAACCACAAAGATCTCTCTCAGGTCTGGAAGCTGGATGTCCGAGGTGGAGGTGTGGCTGATCTGGGGCAGGGGAGGGCTCTCTTTCTGGTGGCCCTCTAGTGTCCTCACAGAGAGCAGTGAGAGGTGGCAAGCTCGCTGCCATCCCCACCTGCACACTCCTCCCACCCACGAGGGCTCCACCCTCCAGCCCTGATCACCTCCCAGAGGCCCACCTGCCGGCCCCCACGCTGGGGCCAGGGTTCCAGCATGACAGTTTTGGGGGATGCAGACCTGAAGGCCATAGCACCCCAGAATGCTGAGGCCTGCCTGGCAGTTGCCTGCACAGGAAGCACTTCACTGGCGTCTTCAGGTAGGGTGCTGGCCGGGGGGAGAGGAGAGTTCCAAAGGCCAGTTTGTCAAGACAAAGGAAAGCGTCCCTACCACCCATCATTCCCAGAGACCCTCGAGTCATGCTGTGCTCGGGGGACCATGCTGTTGTCTGGCCACATCCCTGGCCCTTTTCTATTTTTTATTCAGGGTCTCACTGAATTGCCGAGGCTGGCCTTGAACTTGCCGTGCTCCTACCTCAGCCTCCCGCGTGGCTGGGATCTCGGGCATGTGCCACGGTGCCTGGCAGCGGTGCTGTTTTATGTATGGGTTGTTCTATTACACATCCTGGCGTCGGTTGTGTGTAGAACTTAATACTTGGGTGAGTACTCTGAAGATTGTGAACACTTGTGAAATCTCAGTTCAGAGCGCTTGTTGCCCATCGCTGTTCTAAGACGTGCTCTGCTGGAACTTTAGCGCTCACCTTCCTCAGCTCATGTCCACGGGGCAGTGGGACAACCCAGGTGCAGTCTTGCCCTGACCATGGTTGTTGCGCCAGGTCATGATCCATGTGAAAGGTGCAGTACAGTGGTCATCGGATGGCTTAATGGTCTCCACGGCCAGTCCTAGTGGCCTCCTACAGGAAGCCTTTCCTCCTAGGGTGGAACAGTTGCTCAGGTCAGAAGAGCACTTGGACTGGGTCACCAGGGTGAGAGGGGTTCTGTGTGCCCCTGGCCAGTGCCCGTTTCACACTCACCGGGGGTTCCTTTGACAGGCGGGTGTGCATCCTGCGGTGCATGGCAAGTATCCGGAAGTGATCCCCATTCTGGAAAGTCTGTGCCGATCTTGCAACCCTTCACCCCAGCTGGTTATGATTATGCTGCGATTGCCGTTCTGGAAAAGCAGTCTTTAAGCAGCCATTCCATTGGATTTGGCCCCTGCCTGGTGATCCGTATGCTGATCGAGAGCCCAAGCCGGAGAGGGTGCAGGACACTCCTGAGACTATGGGACAATTTGGAGCCTTGGTTTTCTCTCCTTCCTTTGATCACAGAGATTGGGATCCTAGCACACAAAGGGTTCTGCTTCACACTCAGTATCCGCAGCTGCTCAGACCTCATTATAGGAGCGTCCAGAACCAAGGTGGCTGCACCAACAAGCCTGTTTGTGCCACCTAATTGCATGTGCTAGAGCATCATTAAGAGCAGCCGTCGTGTGGGGTCAGGACTGGGTTCTGCTGACGCTTCAGTCCTTTGTTCATGCTACTAAGGGACGTGTCACTTAGGCCTGCTGTGATCTTCACACGACCGCCTGGTTCTCACTGGGATGGTGGCCCATCGTAGTGTTTGTTTTTGTTGCTATTGTTTTGCTCATTTATTTTGTGAAAAGTTAAATTAGAATGTATGTGTGTTACAACCTTATTTCAAAAATAAGATTTTCTTCCGTGAGTTCAAAGCAAAAGCAAGGTGCAAAGCAACTCAGTGAGACCCTGTCTCTAAATAAAAAAATACAAAATAGAGCTGGGGATGTGGCTCAGTGGTCAGTACCCCTGAGTTCAATCTCCAGTACCCCCCCCCCACAAAAAGATTTTTTTTTTTACCTTTGAAAACATGCCACCCATGAGTGCCTGTGTGGCCTTTAGTACAGTGAGGGGGACTAGTGCATCACTAAGCAGCTGTTAGCAGTCCTTTATCATGTCTGATGACTCATGTTTGAGTGGTGGGTAAGGGCTTCCAGTGTAGGAGAATAGCTCTTTCATCAGGCCCATTATGCAGCTGGTAGCTGCCCTGAGGCATCGGCTTCCCCCAGGCACACAGTGTGGCTTCCCTCAGGCACGCAGTGTGGCCTGTATCTGGGAGCCAGCACTTTGGGCTTTGCCTGCGCCCTTCACTGTCCACCCGTGCCCATCGCTGGCCATGCCCTCTCTGTCCAGCACTCACTGCCCGCTCTGCATGGAAAAGTTGTGTCTCTGAGACTTCCCAGGACAGGTGGGTGGGTGCCTTTTTTTAGGACCCTGTGAACCGGGGTCGCCTGGGTCACACCTTGTCAGAGGGCTTTCTAAAAATGAAGGTGACCTGAAGAAAGGCACTCCTGTGTGAGGCTCACTAGTGCGTGTGTGGTGACGTCAAGTTGGGAGGGAAAAGGGTACGTTCCGGTCCCAACGTTGAGATGGCGCTCGTCCTGCTTTGAGGGCCGCCCTGCTGTGGTCATCCATGGGCTGCCACCACTGGTGTCCTGTCAGGGCGGGTAGCTCCTCACAGGGTGGAACCCAGTGGGAGTTAGAACCTGCGAGACGCCATGCCTGCCCAGGGCTCCCCATCTCCCCCCAGTTGCGGGGGCCTTGCCTGGTGTTGGGCAGGTGTGTGTGGCCTCTGTGCCGTCACCCTCCTGTCCGTTGGGGGGTGCCTGCGTGTGTAGAGTGACTGCTTTTAGAAAACGTGGCGTTGCCCGTGCTCCTGGTGCATCTTCAAACTCGGTTAATGTGAAGGATGTCTCATATAACAGGGTTCAAACAACTGAAGCGTCAGCGACAGAACCCCTTTCTGTGTGCAAAACCATGTGTTAAGAAGTTTTTCATTTAGTATTTTTTGAGGAAAGTTCGGGCTCAGAATTCCTCCCAGTTGCGTTGCTGTGCAGCACGTTTACCCAGGAGCCAGGCCCCGGCTCGGAGCCCCAGGAAGGCTGCGTGTGTTAGGATGGAAGTGGTCTCCAGGCTGCCCCAGGTCTCCGGGACTCGTTGGCGCGTCTGTCTGAGGTGAAAACTCCGGTGCTGTGAGGGGGGTTCCTCTGGTCACTTCCCATTGCTCCATGAGCTCCGCCGTCTCCTTCAGGTGGCCCCTTCCACCTCTGCTCTGTTGGCTGCTCAGTGGACCCAGAGGCCAGGCTTTTTTTTTTTACTATTTATTCTTTATTTATAGGTGGACCCAATATTTTTTTTGTGTGTGGTGCTGAGGGTCAGA